AGTAGATTAATAGCCCCCATAATCCATGTAGTAACCTTAGTTATCCCCCTTATTAACCTACTTTCTACGTCTCCCTGACCCTCCAAATACTTGTCTTACTATTGGCGCAGAACATTGGCCATAACGGCTGAAGTCGGAAGATTCACTACTGAGACCAAAGCCTCAACCCTAAACCCTAAACCCCAAACCCTCAACCCTAAGCCCTCAACCCCAAACCCTAAGCCGCGTTGGTTCATAACCTGTTTTGTAGGTCAAAAACCTTGCTTCGTGCAGGGATCCCAACCATTGTTCTTCAGTCAGAGCACAAATTTGCCACACAATCAGGCCACGTGAGCTGTGGTCAAATTTCCTCAAAGGGGGTTATATGGGGTTCAGGGTTTAGGGTTGAAGGTTTAGGATTTAGGGTCTGAACTCCCTAAATGTGGTGTTCTAGGGGTTATTACGAGGATACCAGGAGTTTAGACATAGCTCATGTGGCTGAGCGGCTACTGGACAGAAGCTCAGGGGCATGGCATGACAAGGAATTGCAGTTGTTTCGTCTTTTTCAACAAAGCTGATTACAGTAGATTTTACACTAGATTACCCTAAAACCCCTAGTTCGTCTTCTGGGTTATAAAAGCCAATATAATCTACTGTAAATTCTGCTGTAGTCTGTTCCCCTAAGCCCTAAACCCTAATGGGGCAAGGCCTTGTGTCTAGCGGATTCCTTCTGCTTTTTTGGTCGCGTGTATTTTTTAGGTGGACCCCCCACCCAGTAATAGTGACTATAAGGGATAATAGGGATTGTATTAGGGTCCTCTTACATTCTTATTATACCACTATTACAGGGTGGGGGGTCCTCCTAATGTATACTTGTCTTTCACATCCTCTGTCTGATAAGAGCCGAAACAGTTACGCACAGAATTCTCTTAGTGGCCATTATGGGTGTACCTACAGCAACCTGAAGAAATGCGCGTTGTTGTCAAACTTGTTGTTTCCCCTCTTTCGTGCCACGTTGTTGATCATTGATATGGTCCATGATGTATTTTGCTTGCAGGCATCGGGCCCATTCATAGTAGGGGCCTTGTCCGCACTTATATCAACCCATTGACCATAGATTCTGAATATTTATGTGGGGGGGTTGATCTAAAGGGTCCTTTGGGAATAATTGTTCACCATAACCTCTCTGAGAACGGCAATTTCGATCACCTGCCATGTGAGCCATAGTCTAAACTCCTAGTATCCCCCCTGATAGCCCCTAGAACTGTCCCGCGAATGATCATCTATATAACCCCCTTTAGACCCCGTACCCTAAACTCTAAACCCTAAACCCTTACTGTACAATCCTCTTTACGGAGCTTAGAATGTAGCTCACGTGGCCAGGCAGCCGGATTGCAGACCATAGGCCGAGGAGATGAGGTTGTCGGCACCTCAGAGAGTTATAGTCCCCCTTAAGTAGATAGAATATTAGGGTTATATTGGGATAATGGAAAAGAAAATGGAAGCTACTATAATGGGTTATATGGGGGTTATATAGGGATAATGAAAAAGAAAATGGAAACTAGTATTTAGGTTTTAGGGTGTGTAGAGTCCCCCTTAAGTAGATAGAATATGGCTTTGGGTATATCAGAATAAGATCCCCATATACCCCATATTCTATCTACTTAAGGGGGACTCTACTTAGAGGCTGTGGATACTACCTAGGGGTTATATAGTAATGATGGAAAAGAAAATGGAAACTACTAGAGTATTTAGGGTTAAGGGTTTGGGGTGGGGGGCTTAGCGAGTGAGAATTGACCTTCTGGCTGTATGTGAGCTCAGGCGCAAGAAAAGGGGGGGGGGCTTGGTAAGTAGGTTATAAACGAGGAGGATAACAAAGGTTACTATATGGGTTATCGGGCTTATTACCCTACTAAGGCGCCCTGGCCCTTCAGGTAACTGTGGGCGGAAATTTTCCGTCGGGCCCATGGAGTGTGATAGGAATAGGATTATAGTCCCCCTTAAATAGATAGAATATGGCTTTGGGTATATTAGGTTATCATCCCCATGTATCATATATCCCATATTCTATCTACTTAAGGGGGACTATACTTAGAGGGACTACTGTCGGGATGGATTCCCCCACTCCCTACTTAGCACGAAGCAGTCTTGGACCCGGCAGTTGAGATTAAACATTAAGACGCAAGCGGTACCCAGACCCCGAAAAGGATCTAAAACTTAGATCCCCTAGAACCCTAGAGGAAGTATATAAGGGTTATATAGGGGTTATAATGGGTCCACATAGGGGATCTATTTTTTAGATCCTCCCAGACCCCCCGGGGTATGGGGTTTTGGGACCTTGATTGCAGACTTCTGAACGCCGTGATGCAGGTGAGCAGAGGAATCAGCTAGGCCAAGCGCCGTTTCAACGGACCTGAATCTTTGTCATACAGTTGTGTCTATTCTTGAGGAGAGGAAGCAAGTAGACAAGCAGACATTCACGTATTGTGTTTTTTTTTTTTCTGACTGTCGTAGTTTACTGTAATGGAGCATATTGGAGAGTAGTGTACCAAACGAAACACATGTTGATCATTTACATGTAATGTTTTATATGAGCTATAGACAACGCTCCCTAAAGCGGGTTATATAGTGGATGATCTAGGGGAGCTTTATAGGGATTGTTAAGGGGGATACTGGGTAGACTATAGCTCATATGGGAGCAGGACAGCTGGCCCCTTGTTGGATGTTTGATTGCTGAGGTCGCAGTCAACACTGTGACGGTGTACAGCATCTGGGCTGCAGAGATGCCATGCCGTTCTTTTCCCGCTGGTGGCTTTTGAGTCTTGGGGTTTAGGGTTTAGGGAGAATGAAGATTCAGAATCCCACCTGAGGTTCTGCATGTAAGAGACAGGACTTTTTAAGCTCCGCAGTGGAGGCATTCCTTCAACCCTGAATCTAAACCAGAACCCTTACTAAATCCCTACCACCTAGCCCCTAACCCCCTACCCCTACATCAACCTTACACCAGGAATCCTTATCAACCCTGAGGCCTAAACCTTATGTATCGCTATGTAATCCCTATATAATATCTTCCCTTATTCCCTGCTAACCCCCAGCAAGTAAACCCTCTAGCAGAAGCTTCTGTCAGCCGAGGCGATTTGCGAAGAGAGCTAGGGAAGACTGCACCAAGCTCAGCTTTTCCTCGCAAGGTCTTACAGGGATGACGCGATCTTTCCTCATTGCAGACACGGTGAGGGTTGCATGGACCTTTTTTGACTGCACATGCAGGTGTTAGAAGTTGTAGGTACTTGCCAGAGTTAGGCCCCTTGCTTTGGAGGTTCCCCAAAACACGTTCCATGCTTTTGACAATTGCCCCTACGCCGTACGATCCCCCTCCAAACAGTAGGATCGAATTGCATGCTAAGGACTCCCCAAACATTCTCCCACCCATGTTTTTGACATTTGCCCTTTAACCAAAGCCTCAACCCTAAGCCTTCCAACCCAAACCCCTAAACCCATGGTCTTGCAAGCGCCGCAGGACCTAAGCGTCGTCGTCTCCTTCGCCTCCGGGGGTCCTGTGAGCGTCGCAACCCTCAGCTGATTCAGACGTTGCACCAAAGTCACTGGTGATAAAGGGGGATGGGGGAGGAGTGGATCCTACAAGAATCCTTATCTGGGTAGGCCCCTGGGATATTTAATATTTTCCTTAATGGCCTTAATAGGGGACCATAGATACCAATGTTTTTCAATTGGTTTTAGGGGCCAACCTAGTTATATGATCCACCATAATTTTTCTCAAGATCCCCCCCTCTCCGTCAAGCATAGGTGAGTTGTGATTCATGTCTGGTTTGTGATGACTTCATCCAGGAATTTCTGCTCACCTTTTTCAAGGTCTAGGCAAATGCTTCCACTTGGCAGGGCGGTGTGTTGCGTTTAGGAAGATTCTGGGAAGAAGGGATCTTATGCAGCAGCGCGGCTCTCGAAACCTCCTACTGCACATATCGACTCCTCTTAAAAAAGGCACATGAATAAGAGCAATCGATCCAAAAACCCTGAACCTCCAAACCTTAGATGCCTGTTATAGGGTGGGGACAAAGCTCAACCAAAGTCTTTCGAAAGCATCATTCTTCCGGATTCAGGATGCCTCTTCTCCTTTGCGCCGAGCGCTACGGCCGCGCGAGGTTATCCACAGGGGTGCAGACCTACCTTACTGGTGCCGAAGGGGTTGTTCCCTTATAAACCTAAACCCCTAGTCCGCCTCCTCGTAAGATGCTACTTCCCATTGGTACCAGCTGGTGTACTTACCTGGACGTTAATGGATATAAGTAGGGCCGCTGCATTCAACATTTTTCCATATAGGCCTCTTCTACTGCCCATGTATCTCTGGGGTCCCGAGGTCCCCCAGTTTTGAGAAACCCAAATTTGATGCAGACTACACAAACCAGCACATCCTTGAAGAGCAGCAATATCAAGATCTAGTGCTAGTTCAGTGGATGGGTAGCTTGAAGCCAGAATGATGCACTGGTGCTGGCCTATAGTAGTCGCCTCCATAATCCCCAGAAAAGCCCCTTTGAAGGAGTTTAGACCTTAAATCCTACACCCTACATAATCCCCTATACAACCCCCCTACATAGGGTTCGGGCGCTTAGGATTCAACTTGAGGTTTGAATGCAGGCTCACAGTGTGGAGTTCTGGCACTCAACTTCTCTGCCCTGGATCCGTTTAGGGTTTAGGCTTTAGGGGGGT